ATTTTACCTTGTAAAATTGTTGATTATGAGTTTTGAACTTAAGCCATTTCGCATAACATATCAAGTATCTTCCACTTCGTCCGTACAGCTTATTGGTTAAATCTCCAATCATCTTTGATGTACTCCTTCCTTTCCATAGATGCTTGATCTCCAAGTCAAATTCATGCCATCTTCCAATCTTAATTTTCTTCACGAAAATTCTTCTGGGATATTTCTTTGAGTAGCATTGACGTGATTTTCATATCATTCATCTTCTTCTTCAATTTGTCATTTTCTCTAGACAAATTCTTGATTTTCGGCTTGATATCTTCTTCATCTATTTTCATCCATCTTCCTATGTTTTTCTCATTTACAATTTAAATAATTTCCCGATCATGGTCTAAGACTCTACTAGACCTATGAATTAAAATTGGGGGATCTACAAATACATATTTGGCATATCAAAACCATTACACTTTATTCCTAACAATTTCCCCCCTTTTGATAATGCCAAAACCTATACTCAGTCATTGGCTTTCAGTCATTGAAAAATAATCTTTTTGCTCAATTTTATTTGACAAAGCGAAGATGAGTTTAACAAATGGTTTTCTAGACACAATCAAATGAAAACTTGTGAATTAATTTTTAGACAAGTTCCTAAACGCATCTTGAATTATTTTATTTTTGATCATCATTTTTTTTTTAAATTTTTATGTGCGTTTTGACATTTCTTGTCTTTTTAATTCACGAAAGTCTAATTACATCAAATAAAATACTAAACTCAAAATTGACTATGGAAAATTATTATTGAGATATTTCGAATTTATAGAGAAAAACGCAACAGAGGTTCGAAAATAGCAGAAACATCAGCTTAAGAGATTTTTCAGATTACCTTCTGGGTTTCTTCTCACCAAAGTCTTTCTTCAAAATTTCCTTGACATGTTCTCTGAGCTTGAAGAAATCATCTTTGAACTTTGCATTCTGAAATCTCTTTGTGACTTGCCCGGCCATGTAATATCCAAAAGCTTCTTTGATATTGTTGTCCGGAAGAACTCCAGCTTCCCACCAAAAGACACATTCTTCGAAGCTTCTTTCTTCTCCAAGATTCATGCCCATATTTCCAGTGAAATCTCTTAGTTCATACCACATCTCGGTTCTTTTCCTTTTGCCTTCTTCTTCTTCTTTATTCTTGTCCGAGATCCATTGGGCTTGATCGGCTGCAGGCAATTTTTTGATCATTCTTGGTAGATTTTCCTTAGTCCATATTGTTGTCTGAGTGGCGGTACCTTTAGAGCATTCAAACCAGCCACGAGTTTCAGCAACTTTTGATGTACTCGTACCAAGACTAGGATTCGCGAACTGAGCAAAACCAATCTGATATGGTCCTTGTGAGGATTGTCCGCGGCTTCGGCCTCTACCTTGAGTAGATATTACTGGCTGTTGTTGGCTTCTAAGAATAAATTCTTGTTGTTGCAAAGCCAAGTGACTGAGAATTTCTTCCCCCCTTTTGGCGTTATCAACCAAAAATGCAAGGGTCTTACAATCTCAGTCTTGGTTTGCCTTCACAGCTTCAACACTGTTGTGTGTTTCAATGGAAACAGCTTGAACATTTTCCAGCTTGTTTGTTGCAACTGTGAGCTCAACTTCAAGTTTGTTGATTCGGCTTTCTTGATCTTGAATCGCCTTGACTTGTCGCAAGTGGCGTTCGTTGTTAATCTTTTCAGCTGCTTCTCGTTCCTTCTTCATAAGTTGAATCACTTCAAGTAAGCCTTTTGTTAATTCTCCTTTCAAGATTCTTTCTGCTTTGTCAATCTGGGTCTTCAAAATATTTTGATGCTCCATTAATTTCTTCAGATTGACTCGTGTATCCGTGTGTTGTTGATCCAACTATTGATTTTGTTCAATCAGCTTCTCTCCAATAGTTTGACAAACAACATCATCGGATTCGGCAACTTTGGCAAATAAGGATGTAAAAATGCCATCTTCTTGATCACTTGTCTGTAAAAAATTTTGAGGAGATCCGAATGGACTCCTTCTCTGATCTGTAAGAACGGGTGTATCAACGAGTTGCATCCTTTCTTCTTCTTCAGGTGATTCGGCTTCTTGATTGAGATCACCAATCTCTTCTTCTAAGACTTCTGTTCTTGTGTAGTTGTCTGCAAATATATCTTCATTTTCTAGAACAGGGTCCATGATTGGCATGGTAGACTCGGTTTGGTGTATTGGTAATACACTGGATAAATCCTCTGTGATTTGTTGTCTACTCTCAGTAGCAACTGCTACTGCAACTTCCATTGGTATATCTCTTCTTATTTCTTCTGACAATTCTCCTCTTACTTCTTTTCTTCTTTTATCCCTTCTTGTAGCCATAATATACATATATTTTTTTAATTCCTTTTTATTCCCTCCTTTTTTATTTTATTTTATTTTTTTATATTCATATATTTTTTGTGTATCTTTTTGGCTACGAAACTTTTGATCTTTTTATATGCCTTAGGGATTTTTAATCTTTTTAGGAGATAGAGAGATAGAGATAGAAAGAACCAGTAGCAAAAACATCCATTTTTATTTATCTCCGTCTTAGGGAGAAAGAGAGAGATAACATTTTTGGATCACATCACATATTCAGGCTTCATCGGTAGAGAGACCAAGGCCGTGATTAGTCTCAAGATCAGCATGCGGTGGAGATGGAGAGCTTGATTTCAAAGCATAGACTAATCCGGGTTCCATTGGAAGGTGAGCAGATCACTTAAAGCTGCGGGTTTGAGGTCGAGATGACAGTGGTGATGGCGTTGAGCGTCGTAACTGCACTGCTGAGACTTTCGGACCTTTTTGAACTTGATCCTTGGTCGGTGGTTGTCCTTCCTCTTCTTCAGAGAATAGGATGAGAGGATCGCTAGGTGTGTTTCCAACTTCATGTCCTCCATTTGCAGCACGTCGAGCTCTCAACATCGCTTGTCTTGCTTGCTCGGCCACTCTCCTGGAAGATCTTCTCTTTTCTTGATTCTTTGGCGTAATACCCCATATTTGAACTCCAAATCTGACCTAATATTTTTCTAAACTCCTATTATTTCTTAAGTCTTGTGGGTTCCAAATCAAAATATACATATAATATTCTTCCTAAATATTTTCATTCCATCTAACTAAATATATATACTGTAATCTTATATATGTGCCGTGTATATATATATATATATATATATATATATATATATATATATATATATATATATATTATTCCTAATATTTCCTTAATATCATTATATTACTCTAACCAATTCTATTACTCTTATAAATACATATGGTCCTCAAGGTTAACCCTAGCCGAACCCTAAACTTATTTTGGCCTCTTCTCTCTCCCTTTCATATTCCAACCGAATCAATCTTTCTCTCTCGGTCGGCGTTCTTGGTTTCTGGCGAAAGACTCAAAGCTCTACATATTTTTGGAGAATGTCAATGTTGAATGTTGATGAAGCTTGTTTGGCGGAGTGGGGGGAAGTGACGAGTTGATAAGATAAAGATGAGGTAATGATTATAGGATATGTTAGGTGTTGATGATAATTGCTGTTTGCTATGTATTACAATAATAATATTATAATGATGATGATATAATCATGGATTATGATAGTGATGAGATGATGATGGGTCGATGATGAGGTATGATGATGATGAATTTGTTATTGATGATAATGGATTCAGAATGGTGATGAAGTATGCTGTTCATGTTAGGATTTCTTATGGATAATGATATGATTAACTGATAATGGTGGATTATTGATGGATGGATAATGTTGATACGGTAATAATAATAGTAATTATTATTATAGTAATAGTATTAGCTAGTAATATTATTAGAATTTGATTGATTCGCAGGTTTCCTGTCATGGTGATTAGAATGCTATATTAAATGTTGATAGGAATTTTGAGCTTTTGAGGTTAGATTTATGTTCACTAAAATTTCTTTTTTCCCAAATAAATAAATTATTTTTCCTATGTGTTTATGTGATTCAGATTTTAATAAATTTGTGATATTTAACGTGGAAAGTTATTTGATCATATTATGTGAGTAGATATATGATATGGTGGTTTTGTGGTGATTAAAAATGATAAATTTTACACAATTTGATCATTGCCTAAGAAAATTCTGACGGGCGCAGCTGGAAAGAAAAATTCGTGAAAATTGCTTCCTAAACTTATTTTTGCTTGAGATTTTTTATGGAGAACCTAGACTTGTTATAATTAATGTTTGTAAAAATTTTTGGTTAAAAATATGTTTCGATGTTTCCAGAAAAATTTCGTAAAGTGGAGGCAGTGTGCTGCCAGTTCAATTTCTGTCTGGCGCAGTGTTGGGAAATAATTCGGGAAAAATACTTTTAGACCTAGGATTGATTTGAAACTTTTTTGTGTATAATCTAGACTCACTGTACCTTGTATCTGGAAAATTTCACTTGAAAATGTGTTACCAATATATTTCTATAAATTTTGCAATTCAGGTCATGCCTTCTGAAAATTTCTGTCAATTCCTTATTTGAGGTGTTGAGAATTTGTTTGCTCGAGAAATATCAGTAATGTTGTCACTTTTATAAAGATTGAGGATAAAGGAAATTGATTCTTAAAACTTGTGTAGTATCCTGTTGTGAAATTCTGGATACTTGGGTTATGACCCAGTTTGTTGTGGAGTGAGCGGTTGAATATACCGACTAACTAGGGAGCTTAAAAACTCTCTCTTGTTTTGTGGAGTGAGCAGTAGAAACATATCCTGTCTCACTAGGACATTTAGTCCTGTTGTTTTGAGGAGTGGTTAGCGGAGTCTACCACTAGGGTATTTACCTTGTTGAGTAGTAGTCAGTAGAAACGTATCCTGGCTACTAGGACTAGTTACTACCCATTGGGCTTGGAAACCCATTGGGGGTGTGCACACTTAAGGTATTAGTTCTGTTCCACTTTAAATGAGAATTTTGCGTAGTGTTCAGTAGAGTGAGTACTGTTCACTAGGGCTTATTGAATAAGACCCTGCCCATCATTTGGTTGGTTTATATGGGATTTTTGAGTTGTGTTCAGTAAAGAGAATTACTGTTCACTAGGGCTTAAGTAATTAAGACCCTGCCCATTATTTGAGATTGAATGGGATTTTGTGTAGTGTTCAGTATGGTGATTACTGTTCACTAGGGCTTGATGAAACAAGACCCTGCCCATTGCGTTGAGTGGTGTTTCTCGATGATGGAAAAAAATATATTACTTTTGAAAGGTTCCTAAAATATCCATTGTGAGACTACTGATTTGTTATTAAAAAATTATGAGTATTGTTGGGAAATTATGGTTGTTGGAAATTCTGAGTATTTCATATTTGAGTTATGTTCTATATGATTATGCTCTATTGATAATAGAAGATTAAATGTTTAAAGGGTGTATGCTATATGCCAATTATCTGCTCTTATGTCTATGTGCAAATATGTTTTACGGGGTGAAATGGAACTTACTTAGCTTATGCTAATTTTTGTCTATTCTCTATCTTTTTGTGTCAAAATTATTTTTACAGGTGAACATGGATAAAGGAATTTGAGATGAATTCAAGTTGAGCAGGAATTAAATTGACTCATTGGAGATTTTATATTTTGAGAGTAAATGATTGTAATGTTATTTGCAGTTTATGTATTAAGTTGAATTTGGATTATTGAATTTAAGTTGTATTATTAGCCTTAGCGTTCGGGTATAGGAGAGATACCTGAGCGTGGCGGTAACACCCATTTCTTTTGGTTAGTTAATGCTTCCGATATGTTATTAGTGAATATTTCAGTTAAGAAAGATTAAAAATTAAGGAAAATTTGATTATGAAAACGAGGGTGTTACAAATTGGTATCAGAGCTGTTGGGATATAGAAAACCTAAGTTGTGAATTTTGGATGAGAGCTTAGATTTTGATTTTTTTTGGAATATATAGGAGATTAAGTGACAAGTTGGAATATAGGGATTGGAGTTCCTAAGTGGTATGAAGCCTTAGTGAACATTTGGCTTGAATTTTGGTTTGATGCTAAAATAGGTGAGAACTAAGAGGTTATGTTTCGGGGACGAAACATCTTTTAAGGAGGGTAGAGTGTAATACCCCATATTTTTTGGGCACTATTCTTGTTACCCTAATTTTATTTTATTCTTTGAACTCCAAATCTGACCTAATATTTTTCTAAACTCCTATTATTTCTTAAGTCTTGTGGGTTCCAAATCAAAATATACATATAATATTCTTCCTAAATATTTTCATTCCATCTAACTAAATATATATACTGTAATCTTATATATGTGCCGTGTATATATATATATATATATATTATTCCTAATATTTCCTTAATATCATTATATTACTCTACCCAATTCTATTACTCTTATAAATACATATGGTCCTGAAGGTTAACCCTAGCCGAACCCTAAACTTATTTTGGCCTCTTCTCTCTCCCTTTCATATTCCAACCGAATCAATCTTTCTCTCTCGGTCGGCGTTCTTGGTTTCTGGCGAAAGACTCAAAGCTCTACATATTTTTGGAGAATGTCAATGTTGAATGTTGATGATGCGTGTTCGGCGGAGTGGGGGGAAGTGACGAGTTGATAAGATAAAGATGAGGTAATGATTATAGGATATGTTAGGTGTTGATGATAATTGCTGTTTGCTTTGTATTACAATAATAATCATGGTTGCAGTAGGCGCTAGGCGCTAGTCGGGCGGCCGGGCAGCGCCTAGCGCCTAGGCGGATTCTAGGCGGCGCTAGGCGGGCACCAAAAAAATTAAAAAAAAATAGTAACAGACTTGTTGTTCGACAATTTTAATGAGGTTGTTTTCAACGTTCACTCAAATAACACATCAAAATAAATGAAATAATGAAAATTTATAAGTCATAATGTCATAATAATATTAAAATCAATAATTAATGAAAGACGACATCGGTCAAAATCGAACAAAATCGGTCAAAATCGGTCAAAAACGGTCAAAATCGGACAAAATCGGTCGACTCGGCCGAGTTGGCCGAGTTGACCGACTCGGCCGAGTTTGGCCGCCCAGGCCGCCTAGCGGCCGCCTAGGCGGCCGGCCGAGTTTTGGCCAAAACTCCAAGGCTCGGGGCCGCCTAGCGCCTAGGCGGGCGCCTAGGCGGCCGAGTTTTGCAACCTTGATAATAATATTATAATGATGATGATATAATCATGGATTATGATAGTGATGAGATGATGATGGGTCGATGATGAGGTATGATGATGATGAATTTGTTATTGATGATAATGGATTCAGAATGGTGATGAAGTATGCTGTTCATGTTAGGATTTCTTATGGATAATGATATGATTAACTGATAATGGTGGATTATTGATGGATGGATAATGTTGATACGGTAATAATAATAGTAATTATTATTATAGTAATAGTATTAGCTAGTAATATTATTAGAATTTGATTGATTCGCAAGTTTCCTGTCATGGTGATTAGAATGCTATATTAAATGTTGATAGGAATTTTGAGCTTTTGAGGTAAGATTTTATGTTCACCAAAAATTATATTTTTTCCGTAAATATTTTATGTTGTGTGAATATGAGTATGATATCTATGATGTGAGTTATAATGTTCATGTGATCACAAGTGCATTGTAATGTTGTGAGTAGTGATTCTCGAGCTATCGAGAATGGGCTTCGACGTGTCGAGCCCTGTGTGTGTAAATCGTTGGCTTGGAATATTTTGGTGTGTATATACGTGGTGAAATTTGTTTTACCTTGTGGAGTAAAAATGATTTTGGATAAATTATGTGGAGACAATTATATTTTTGGAGAAATGATATATTTTGGAGAAATGATATATTTTGGAGAAAATTTTATTTTTGGAGATGAGTATTTATTTATGGAGAAATAATGAAATTTTCTTGAAACAATATATTGTGAGGTGTTCAGTAAATGTGAGTACTGTTCACTTGGATTAATTACTACTCATTGGGCTTGGAATCCCATGAGGGTGTATCACATAGGTTATGATCCAGTTTCTAAATTGTTTGAGTGGTAGTAGGTAGGAAAACCTAACTACTTGGATCATATACTACCCAGTGGCTTGGAATCCTCTAGGGGTGTGCACATAGGTTTTAGTCCAGATTCTATGTGGATTTCGATGAGGTTTGTTAATTCTCCATTTATAAATATTAATTCTCTATACAAGGAAAAGTATAACTCCACATGTATTTTGGAAAAGAATAAAATTATATGAGCTTTTGAAATATAAAATCCAAGCCTATATTTTACGGGGTGAAATGGAACTTACTTAGCTTATGCTAATTTTTGTCTATTCTCTATCTTTTTGTGTCAAAATTATTTTTACAGGTGAACATGGATAAAGGAATTTGAGATGAATTCAAGTTGAGCAGGAATTAAATTGACTCATTGGAGATTTTATATTTTGAGAGTAAATGATTGTAATGTTATTTGCAGTTTATGTATTAAGTTGAATTTGGATTATTGAATTTAAGTTGTATTATTAGCCTTAGCGTTCGGGTATAGGAGAGATACCTGAGCGTGGCGGTAACACCCATTTCTTTTGGTTAGTTAATGCTTCCGATATGTTATTAGTGAATATTTCAGTTAAGAAAGATTAAATATTAAGGAAAATTTGATTATGAAAACGAGGGTGTTACATTTGGAGTCATCGGAGCCTGCAAAAACTAGATACAAACAAAAGAAATCTCCACACAGACTTGTTTGCTTCAGGTCCTAATTTATAGGCCTAGGAAGGTGCTAGAACCGTGTGGGCTAATAATGAAGGGGTTGAAAGGTTTTCTATGGATATAGCCGACGTTTGGTTTCAAAAGGTTTGATGAATGCTTTCATGACTCTTCATTGGTTGAGAAAGCTGTGGATGTGATGGGTAGCGGTTTCTAGAAGAGTTAATGAGGGATTAGGGTGACGATTTGAGAGAGAATGAATCGGTTGGGGAGGGGTGTTGATCTAGGAGAAGATTATGGGGGGAGGTTTAAGATGGGTGGAGGTTCAGAAAGGGTAAGAGTTTATGGGTGGAGGTTTGATACCCAATTAAACTCTGATTTTCCTACTTTGTCTCCTAATTTCCTTCTCAAAATCGTGTACCATAAATATAATCACACTCAAACATTTTGTTAGTAGCAAAAATTACTCCACAAATAATTAATCACACATACCAATTATATTAAACTCCACACGGCAATTACCAATTAAAACGCACATATTTTGGAAATTAACAGATTAACACACATATTCCAAATTAATAATTAGAAACAACTTCACATAATTAGCACACAAATCAGATTCCAAAATATTTTAGAAACTAAAAAATAAATTAACTTTTAGCTCAGGTTTCTAAAACATTTTATAGCAAATTATATCACATATACTAATATACACGCAACACATATATAATGCAATAAACACTTTTGAATTAGATTTTTAAAGCAAATTGTTCATGCAAACAAATTATCTAAATTATACAAACATGAACAAATACTTTGCAGATTAGATAACACATTGAAATATGCAATTTTAAACAAATTATCAATTAAATCACGAATTGCACATTTCATCAAATTAATTTGCATGGCATATGATCTCACGTTAAACAACACATGCAAATACACAAATAAATTCCTAACATATATTGCAATTTTATTATATAAAAATTTCGAATAAACATATGCATATAATCACATAAAACAATTTATTCACATAAAACAATTTATTTTGAGCACAAGTATCAATTTAAATTGAGAGATTAAGTCCAGTGATACTTAGCTCATTTCGATCATTCCCAACTCGTGCCTTAAGGTAGAAAATCTCGTTTAGCATAAAGGCTTCGTGAGAGTATCAGCAACTTGGTTTTCCGTAGGGATATATTCGATCTTTAGATTCTTCTTTTCAACGTGATCCCTTATGAAGTGATGTCGAATGTCGATATGTTTGGTTCTTGAGTGAAGCACCGGATTGTGAGTGATAGCGATTGCACTAGTATTATCACAATAAATACTAACGTCATCACAATTTACTCCGTAATCCTTCAATTGTTGCTTCATCCACAAAATTTGCGCACAACAACTTCCTGCAGCAATATATTCGGCCTCGGTGGTACTAGTTGCAATGGAATTTTGCTTTTTGCTGAACCAAGAAACAAGCCTTCCCCCCAAGAACTGGCATGTCCCGGAAGTGCTTTTTCTGTCTATTTTGCAACCTGCAAAATCCGCATCTGAAAACCCCGTTACAGTAAAATCTGTACCTTTTGGATACCACAATCCAACATTGATTGTGCCTTTCAGATATCGTATGATCTTCTTTGTTGCGGTGAGGTGGCTTTCATTTGGATTTGCTTGGAATCTTGCACACACTCCCAAAACATAAGAAATGTCCGGCCTGCTTGCAGTAAGATATAGAAGTGAACCAATCATTCTTCTATATTTTGTTTGATCGACATCCTTTCCATCTTCATCTTTGTATAGCCTTATTGATGTGCTCATTGGAATTCTGATTGATGATTTTCCATCAAGGCCAAACTTCTTTATCAAGTCGCGGGTGTACTTTGCTTGATTGATGAATACTCCTTCTTTCAGTTGTTTGACTTGTAAGCCCAAGAAGTAATTCAATTCACCCATCATGCTCATTTCGAATTTATTCTGCAAAAGCTTCAAAAATTTCTCAGACAAAGAATTGTTAGTGCTACCAAAAATAATATCATCAACATATATTTGCACTAATAAAATATGACCACCATCTTGAATAATAAATAGAGTTTTGTCAACAAGGCCTTTGGT